GTAATTAAGAGGCTTCGCCTCTTCGCGATCACATATTAATGACGGTTGCCGTCCATTCTTGCATTTGACTATAATTTTTTTGCAATTATAAGTTTGTCACTTTTATGCGAAATCGCGGCATTTTACATTCATCAGACCAACGCATTCAACAGTATACGTTTACTTTTCCTTGAAACGGTCTTACATAATTTTTAAGAGGAGGTATTAATTTATATAAATAGATAAAGTTGAATTAGTTACACATTGTTATGGCGGCAACATTATGTACAATAGCAGGACTACGTAAGTTCTCAAATTTCGTATCTCAAAGAAAAATCTGTGCCGCGCGTGAATGTATAAACACGAGTCGTTTTTCACTGTTCAATAATTTGGGTATAATCTATCAACAATTGGAGTACTAAATACGGAATAAACTGGTCTGAAATAGATAAACAAGTGAATCGCAAAATTTAAAGTTCATTTGCACGTGTTGTTAATGATCTTTGGAAAAGCAATTCCGAAATGGCTATTTTGAATGGAAAGTAAAATATAATTTTTCGCAACTGGCACTGACATTTCATTGTTAGCTTCAAGTGGTGTGGCCTCAGCCAATTAACGCAAACTTCACAAGGCCGTTATTCGACAGACTCAATATTCTATACCAATGGAAAAAACTTTGCGTACACAACTTTTGTTACGAAACGTTCTTGTATAGATTGTCCATAAAACATAAAATTAACTATAGCAAAAGTTTCGCTTGTTTACATTATTCTTCTCCTATGAAGATTACTTTATCGAAAAAGGTAAAGGATTATTTGAATTGTAAAATTGCTAATTACTTCTTCCCCTCGACAAATATGTCGCAATCATAAATGAAACGAATAATCAACGGCATCATTTAGCAAAAAGTTATTATCCTCGACTACGAGCATATTACAGAAGGAAGCGTCAATTTTTGAGCCGGTTCACCATTCCACAGTCGAGACGTAATGTTCCCATAGCAAACTACTTCTAACAATTCATAGAATTACATGCCTATTTCTTGACGATGGAACGTCGTTAAAAAGAGCGGATAAAATGCTGACCAAATAGGCGATAAATATAGGGTGGTCCATTAACAGGTGGCAGCTGAGCGAGATCACCTACAACAACCACACATATGCCACCAAAAGGTTATTGTGTAGCCGTCCAAATAGCATCGACGTCGTGCTTCGATTTTTATTTCGTAATGTTATTAGCTCAATTCATGTTGAGCATATCGTGTAAGACTGTTTTATTCAAATTTTGAGTTACTAAATTATAAGACAATGGAAGAGGTTATTTAATATCAACATGTACTTGCAGCTGAATCCAGATAATAGCTATTTCTTGGTTTAGGTAATTCTCCTGTAAGTAAAAGCCTACTATAGTATTTACTCTCTTTTTCGAGACGTGATAAGGGCGTTGCGTCATTATGATAGATGGCCTTCCACACGTTGTCATCAGAACTGTCCATATCCAACCTTTCTAAAAATTGTCCCTTTATTTGGACGCTATCAGGATCACCGTTCAAATTTCTTGCATTTGTCTGGTGCTGAATTAGGCATCCATCATTGGCCGTAGTCCACTCATGATATCACATATTAAATCTTTGTCAAACTGCCCGTGTCTAAAAAAGGGTGGTTTCCCAGTGGCAAACAAATACGTAATGATCCCAAAAGAATACACATCTAATTCCTGAGTATATTTGAAAGCATAGAAGATTCCGGTGCAATAAAGTGTATAACGTCTCGAATTGTTGAATTTGGTTCACGTGAATTCACCAATGGTGAGAGACTAAAGAATAATTTTGTCGAACGCGTATACCAACGTTTGACTGTCTGCATTTTCCCCACAAATTGTCTACATGTTATATTAAGATTGCGATAGTTGTCTTGCAAATTGCGGTTGATCTTTCAAAGTACCCATGTATATTATGTGAGTAGAGTTTTGTAGAAGGGATTTGGCATTATAGCATGTGTTTGCCCGATATCTGAAGATCGTAAATTAATAAATACCAATTTATACCAATAATGTAACATACTTTTACTTACTTCACATATATCGTCTTTCGCAGTGTTAGTAGTCGATCCGAAGCCTCTTACCATATCGTCTTAGAAGGTTTGTATACGGGTATTTGTATGGTGTCAATGTAAATGAACGTATAATTGGGTGGTCAGCGGTGGTGGTGTTTTGAGTTTAGATATATTTTTACTGGCAGTCTTAATATGGGCGAGAGTGAGGTTAAAAGCTTTGTTGTCACCGTGTAAATGGGAGAAAGATGTGGGTTGTCATTATGAAAATCTGAGCAATTTCGATGGTTTACGATTTATAGTGACACTGACGCAATTGCCTTCATTCAGATGATGATATGATAGTACGTATTATTTATACAAGTCCGTGTGAATAATGAGAATGTTGCATGGTTTGTGCAACAAGTAACATCTACGAGTGATGCGGCAAGTTTTTAATTCACACGTTTATTAACATATACGTATTGTTGTATGTGTTTAAATGAATATTAGATATCCAATACTTTTTTTAGAATATAGTAAGTATATGAATGTTATATTTCGCGGCGTCATTCTTGTCAGCATTGCGTTGACGCAGTAGGCGTTGGCGGTTCTGAAAATTTCGTATTTTTCGGGTTAAAGATAACTCCATACGGACCATATAGGATGTCGCATATCCTAATAACCTTTCTTTATTATATTTTCCAAAGTCTCAGCTCTGGTTTCTGAATAATCGACGCCACGATTAAAGTATCCATTTCCATCAGGGAAAAGGTCTGGAAATACTAGTGGTTCTAATTCCGGATCCGAGAAAGAAATCGGCATTTTATTATTACACAGTATTCAAATCTAAGAGAAGTCCATTCGCTAAACAAGTATAGTGTGAATCTTCATCATGAATTTCAGCTGGGAAATTTGAACGGTGGTAAAATAGCTTCATTACGTGTAATTGGTGGTGTATAGGAGTTCGTATCTGTGTGGGTTGCAACAGGCCAAACGGGCACGTTTAGTTCTGTCCTTTCCCGTAAGATGGAAGCGATAGAATGACATGCATGTAGATATGGATTATGTTCTTGTAACCATTCACAGGCTGCGGTTAATTTCATCATTTTCGAGAAACGCACCAAGCATTCCAGATATAGCTCTTCAAATGGAAAACGTGAGTTTGAATATCTGCAAACCCATACAGCTTTAAGTGGGTAAAGAATAACAACACGGAGCACAAAAATATGCTTTTTCGTAAAGGAAGCGTAATTTCTTTATTAATTGAGATGATGGACGCCAATATTGAGCACGAGGTGGATTATATGTAGAAAACAATGGAGAATCAGCAGTGAAATCTATAATGGTTTTTCGTATTCTTGCAAAGCAGGCAAATCAGCGATTTGGATAACTCTCTGTGTCATGGTGTAGTCGTTAAATTAGATTCGTAAAAATGATAACTGAACGAATCGGTATTTATAAGAAAAAATTTTTTATTGCTTTTGCGATTATATGCGAAATTTGAATTGAAATCGAAGGAAATTATAATAGTCAGTTTTTGAGTATATATTAGTATGCGATCATATATGGAGATTGAGATTAAATTTACTGATGGCGTAGGGTCAACTGCCTATAAATTTGAGGGTAATTTCGTTTATGGAGGAAGTTAATAAATTCCTCTATTGCTAAACGACAGTTGTTTTTCTAAGGTGTTGTTCCTTATAATGCGAATATTTTCACCTTGGATCCAATTCCAAACATAACTTCTAGGGTATAATGTGTTTGGATTTGTATATAGTTCGATCCGAGGTTATCGATCGAATTAACGTACAAGGCGAATCATCGTCATGTCAGTTAATTACAATAGAAATAATAATAAATGTTCTGTCGAATTAACGTCATTATCATACGCAAAAAGTAGAGTGGCAATCATTGGTTAAATTTTGAAGAAAATCCAGTAGTGGCGGAAAAATAGATTTTAGTTTACCATGAAAGGAAAAAATTATTTACTTATTGCTAATACGAATAAGGTTAAATCATTCATCATGTAAGTCACAAGACTTATATATGCATAAAAATGTGGCTAATTTTTTGGGGACGCCTGTTTCCGAATTAGTGCAACAAGAAATTTCATAGTTTTTGAGCAATAGTAAAGTAGAGAACGCTGAACATTGCAGATAATCCACACCAGGCGAAAAGCGTATTTGGATAGATGTTCGCTCTGAATGATAACTTTTGTCGAACCCAAATTTTTTATAGTTCGTGAAAAGTTAATGTCATGTGACAATGGAAATTTTTTTTTAGAATCTTTAATCAATCAATACTGTCCCATTCGACACCAAAACGTTATGCGACGGATGTTTTTCACGTTCAATGTATACTGTTCTTTGCCGAATATGTTGGAAACATTTAATCAACTTCGTTGGTTGCCAACATGAACAAAGAGGTTGTCATGCACATTGATCGAAATCCTTTTTAGGTTGGTGTCACGGTGTTTGACGAACTAATTTTGCGTAACAGGGCCCCAATGAGTATAATGAACGTTTCTCTTTAAGAGGTAATATTTAAGTGTTAGATAATATTCTCATACTTATTTAAGAGAGTTTGTTGCAACAGACGCAAAGGGTATTCAAACAATTAATGAGCGTAATGAAATGACGAATCCATTCACCATTAAATTATGTTACCAGTCATGTGACAACCAATAACCGCTGCACACATTCCCAAGGCGTGCATATAATGGTAGTAGTAGGATACTGTATATACCAGAATCTTACGGGAGATATAACTGAGCTTTCCATAACAAAAAGGCCGAAATAAACTACGCTACGTTGAAACGTTCTTGTTTTCGTATTTTATGGTGACAATATGTCGAATAGACAATATATCTGTTTGTTGACAATAACACGCTGCATATTGCGCAATTGTTACTACTAAACGAGATAGCGTAAGAACAGTTTTAGTAATGCCAAGAGCTGATTCATCAATATTATATGACATCAAATTATTTTACGGGTTTTTTCTCTTGTTCAACATGTCGACTTCCCAAACACGCCCCAAAACACCACCTACTGAATATGGACCCTCACTCACTCCGCCAACACTTGAAGAAATCAATATCTGCCATTTATCTATAGACGTAGAATTAAGTGAGAATACAGATAATGCTCCTCCACTAGCCGTGGCAGAGGATTCTATCGCCACCACGGGGACTGGAGAAGCAGATAACGATAGTAATCGTAGACGTTCGGGTCGTCTCTGGCTACGTTCGGGTCGTCTCTCGCTACGTTCGGGTCGTCTCTCGCCACGTTCGGGTTGTCTCTCGCCACGTTCGGGTTGCCTCTCGCCACGTTTGGGTTGTCTCTCGCCACGTTCGGGTCGTCTCTCGCCATGTGTCCCTTTGATTCTTACTGTCAATACTTCAGCCGCTGCAGCTATAATAATAATATTGATTCAACTGATAATAGTAAGTGTACGCTACCCGATTATAATTGACAATCGGTGATGTCATATATGGTATCAATCGTAACTAAAATGTCAATGCTTCTAACATGCTTTCGTAATTTCCATTGACAGTATGTCAACCATTACGAGGGAAGACGTCGGGCTCTAATCGCTTGGTGTATAGCAGAGTCCCTGTTTCGTCTGTGGGCTGTTTTCTTTGCAGCCAGAAATTTTTCTGCGACTTATACATTAATCCATTCGTTGGGAATATTCTTAGGTACAGTATTGTCAGCAATACAATGTGCTAAAGTAACAGTCAAACTTGGTCAAATCTGTTATATCGTATTCATATTTATAAACAGGAAAAGGATATTACCTCCTCTTGGTCAATTCATTATGGCCTGCTCCTGACCTTCAGGACGTTCAGAACAAATTCGATGACTTTATTCGTTATAGTGGCGTGATGTACTATACATTTTTCAATTTATATTTTGGCATTTGGTTTTGGGTTGGAACCTGGATAGCGGTAAACCATAGTTCAGCAGACAATTACGCCAAGTCGTTAGCTACAACCGGTCTCGTTGCAAGTCTGATTAATGTTGTCACCATACCTTTATTATGTATACTCCGACATATTCAGAAGGCAGATTTTGAAGATACTAACTAGAGTACCGTAAAACTCCAACATGTGCACCCCACCCTCCACTAGTTTAATATAATAACAATATTTTTAGCCTTTTGATTTATAGCCCATTCTGTATTTTTCTGTTAGTATTGATCTGAAAGTACGTAGATACACGTTTAGCATAATGTTATGATGCAATTTATTATTGTATGTTAAGTCAACTACATTGACAATGATCAATGGCCAAGTTCATCGAAATACATCGCGGCGGTGAAGTAACATGGAACCATTGAATGAGATGAAATTTATTTACATAAATGATTGAATTGTAGGGGAAAGTGGCTATTCCCAAATATTATCGCTTGTAATTACTTCGCATTCTTCATATGGACTAATTTTGCGTAACAGGGGCAATGAGTATGAAAACGGTTTTCTTTAAGAGGTAGCATCTTTCTTAGCTAATATTTAAGTGTTTGATAATATTCTTATACTTATTTATTTGTCGTTGGGAAGGTTGTTGCAACAGACGTCTAAAGGGTTAAATGAGCGTAATGAAATGACGACAATGGATGACCACTAAATTATGATTTTTTCCAGCATCGCCATCAAAATTTTACGGACACGTGATTATTTCTATATGTAACGGTAAGATTTAAGTTTAACAAAAATTTAAATTTTGCTTCTATAATTTCACCCACTGCAGTCATGTGTCCGTAAATTTTTTGATGGTGATCCAGGGGTGCAATTTGCTCCAGGGGTAGTTCTAAATTATGCTACCGGTCATGTGACAACCAAACCGCTGCATAGAATCTTACGGGAGATATAACTGAGCTTCCATGAACGTTACGTTGAAATGTTCTTGTCTTTCGTATTTTATGGTGACAATATGTCGAATAGACAATATTGACAATAACACGCTGCATATTGCGCAATTGTTACTACTAAACGAGATAGCGCAACGTAAGAACAGTTTTAGAACTCTCTGCTGCACCCTTCAAATAAACTTGCTTCTTCAGCATATTACAATGTGGATGTGATAATTGCTGATTCATCAATAATATATGACATCAAATATCTTACGGGTTTCTTCTCTTGTTCAACATGTTGACCTCCCAAACACGCCCCAAAACACCATCTACTGAATATGGACCCTCACTCACTCCGCCAACACTTGAAGAAATCAATATCTGCCATTCATCTATAGACGTAGAATTAAGTGAGAATACAGATAATGCTCCTCCACTAGCCGTGGCAGAGGATTCTATCGCCACCACAGGGACTGGAGAAGCAGATAACGATAGTAATCGTGGACGTTCGGGTCATCTCCCGCCATGGGTCCTCTTGATCCTTACTGTCAGTATTTTAGCTACTGCAGCTATAGGAATATCATTGATTCAACTGATAATAGTAAGTGTACGCTACCCGAAATTATAATTGACAAGCAGTGATGTCATATATGGTATCAATCGTAACAATATCAAGGGTTAATACTTCTAACATGCTTTCGTAATTTCCATTGACAGTATGCCAGCTATTACGAAGAGAAAAGACGTTTTCTAATTGTTTGGTGTATAGCAGAGTCCCTGTTTCGTCTGTGGGCTATTTTCTTTGCAGCCATAAATTTTTCTGCGATTTATGCAATAATCCATTCGGTGGGAATATTCTTAGGTAATGTACAGTATTGTCAGCAATACAATGTGCTAAAGTAACAGTCAAACTTGGTCAAATCTGTTATATCGTATTCATATTTATAAACAGGACAAGGATATTACCTCCTCTTGGTCGATTCATTATGGCCTGCTCCTGATCCTCAGGACGTTCAGAACAAATTCGATGACTTTATTCGTTGTAGTGGCGTGAGGTACTATACATTTTTCAATTTATATTTTAACACTTGGTTTTGGTTTGTAACCTGGATAGCGGTATACTATAGTTCAGCAGATAATTACGCCAAGTCGTTTGCTACTACCGGTCTCGTTGCATGTCTGATTAATGTTGTCACCACCATACCTTTATTGTGTATACTCCGACATATTCAGAAGGCAGATTTTGAAGATACTAACTAGAGTACCTTAAAACTCCAACATGTGTACCCCACCCTCCACTAGTTTAATATAATAACAATATTTTTGGCCTTTTGATTTATAGCCCATTCTGTATTTTTCTGTTAGTATTGATTTGAAAGTACGTAGATACATGTTTCCCATAATGTTATGATGCGATTTATCATTATAACATATGTTAAGTCAACAATGATCAATGGCCAAGGTCATCGAAATACATCGCGGTGGTGAAGTAACATAGAACCATTGAATGAGATGAAATTTATTTACATAAATGATTGAATTGGTTCTATTTATAGGGGGGGGAAGTGGCTATTATCGTTTGTAATCACTTCGCATTCTTTATATTCTTCGCCATCGAGGTCATTGATAACAATTCGTAATCAAATACCAAATCGTTCTCTGACTCATCAATTTCTACTGAGATACCGCAATACTTGAATGCTTTCCTAATTAAAAGACAATCCCCCATTGAGCTAAAGTGGAACACGATAGTTTTCGAATATGTCCAGCAGGTGTAAATTGATGAGTCTCTCGTCGGTCATCCATTAGTTATAACGGAGACGTACACCTAATAAATTTAAATCACGTTATTAGTAAGCTCTATAATACAAAATTATTTTAATACCATACTTTTTCTTTAAAGCTTTTGTTTATTAGAGGCTGTAGCTTACTAGTTAGCCCACCTGGAACGACCGCAAAATGAGTATTTTTTTTTGTTGAAATGACTTAAAAGAATCTGCTAAATGGGCTCTAAAGGAATCAAAAATAAGAAGAGACTGGGATTTCTCATTTCATTACGCTTGTCCAATACTGCATCATGCTCATTACACCATCTCTTTTCGTTTACCCTAATAATAATGCCTGGAGGAAATGTTTACGAGTAATTTGTTTTAACTTAAAAATACACACAAAGGAAGTTTACTTCCATCCATAAGACATCCGAGGATTACAGTAAACCACGTTTTTTTATGCCCAGTTGTTCGTATGCTTACGGTCTGAGTAACCGGGTAAGGCATATCAAATCATAATAAGGACGTCTCGTACATATTCCAATGACTTAATAGGATAGTTGTATTGGCGGCATTTAAACAAAACATGGTCGCTTTGTTACTCAATAAGATCTGAGACGCTGCGCAATCGTCGTACGTCAACGATTTAATAAGTCATTACGGTACAAAAACCCTCCCAACTGTCTATTAAAAAATTTAAAATTATTGATATCGGGGTAAGTATTCTACTTTATCAGTATGAGCCAGTGTTTTGGCCTTTCTGATAACTATCATCCGTGATACAGCCATCTGTTTTTCACAAAGTTCCTCAATCCATTCAATGATCTTTTCTTTTAAAGTAAATACCGTGCTTGCAGCATTTAGAAGCCTTTGCTTCTTATTCCGTCAGTCACGAATTTGTTTGGGCTGGTTCGATGCCGAAGCGCTTTGCAGTTGCTCTCACTTTTTGAACATGTTCAAGATAGTGAACAACTATTAGTTTTTCGCAGGAACGTCGGGTCTTTTTTGGTGGCACGGGACTTTTTTATAATATTTCTGTTTCGTGGGTACATTTTTTGGACGTTTTTTATAAAACATTTAAACGTTAAAACTTGGTTCGGTCAGTCAAAGGTTTTGAAAAGAATCGCATATACTAGGGAAACGTTACACAATATTTCGCGTCGTGTCACACTTTTTTTTTTCCAATCAGCAAATTGTACTGATCAATACGGTGAACCTCCCCTGCAAGAATACACAGGGTACTAAAATCAATAGAAAAATACACCGGGTACACATGTTTAAATTGTCATTGTAGTTAAATAATATTCTCTGCATGAAAAGCAATATTTCATGACAATACAAGTTCGGTTGCCAAGTTTCCGATGAGTTTTCTGTCTCTAAAGTAAAATAAATGTACTTCGATGCATAATTTAAATTTAAAGCAGTTTTGTTATCGTATCGATTTTTCAATTGCTTTATTGTTGTTAACAATACGCCAATGTATGGGTAAGAAATTGTTCGTGACAGACAAACAGAAAATAAATTCAAAACACTATTTAACGTTCTACTAATGATCAAAGTTAATTTTTGACGTCCTTAACAGTTTATATAATAACAAATCATTGAAGAACCTGTTGAAATATACAGCTATAATAACAGTAGATTAACGATTCCTATAGTACCGTTTAGTCGGTATAATGTTACTAGAATGGCTAGCCGCGATCGCGGACTCTGCGATTGTAATTCGTTCATTGTCACAGTTTGTTCTTGGGCTCCTGTTAAAACACCATCTTTTGATTATTGATTTGTCTCCTTTTTGTTTCAGCTTGTTATTTAATTTATTACAAGATTGCATATTTATTGTAGGATTTATTCTGCCAGGAATACAGAGATGAAGAAGACTATATTTAACAAGCTTGTTATTATTAACTGATTTTTATATATGGAAAATAACATTCTTATATCGTGACTTTATTTTGTAAATTTGGTTGTTGGAAATTTACTGTATAAATTTCTTTATAGCTGGTTTATTTCATATATGTACTCAAATTCTTTCGTTATAACGGTTTTGGGCTGTAATAGTAATAGTTGAATTAAAATCAGTCACATGCGCCGATAAAATGCATGCTTATCACAACCAATAAACAGCATTTAGTCAACGTGCTTATTTCGGACTAGATCACATACGCCATATGCACACCCTGGAGGCGTGCATACACTCCCTTGCTTGCCAAAGTCCCGTATTTATTATGCAAGTTTGAAGCTTATTGATTGTACCCTTTTATAATACACTATTGATACAACGACACATACTGTATACAATCATGTATTTTCCTATACTAATACACTACAACTTCATTAAAATCATTGTTATTTTCGACAAGTACGACCAGTTAGTTACTTGCAGAGTAATAACTACTTTCGAAAATAAAGATTTTTCATTTGTTTTACTTTTTGATCGACAGGGATTTCGGAGACTTTAGGCCGGGGTGTATAATGGAGGATTCATGTTAATGTATGTACAAAATTCCACTGTTTTGTAGGGCGTTTGTTGTTGATCCATCACAATAGTATATAACCTGGCATGTATCAAATATCCAATGGGTTTTTTCCCCTTATTTAACATGGCGACCTCCCAAACACGCCCCAGAACACCACCTACTGAATACGGGCCCTCACTCAGTCCGCCAACACTTGAAGAAATTATAGACGTAGAATTAAGTGAGAACACAAATAATGCTTCTCCACTAGCCGTGGCAGATGATTCTATCGCTACTACGGAGATAAGAAAAGCAAATAGCAATCGTGATAGTAGACGTTCGGGTCATGTCTCGCCATGGGTCCTCATAAGTGTTTATTTGTTTCTTATTGTCAATGCTATATTAATGTCAGCTGTAATAATAATATTGGTTCTTCTGATAAAAGTAAGTGCACTACCCGAACATATAATAGATCAGTCAGTGAATAGTATGTGGATCGTATCTTTAACCTCAATATCAAGGTTGACGCTTCTAACATACTATTGACAGGATGCCAATCATTATAAGGAAAAACGCCCGACTCTAATTGCGTGGTGTGTAACAGAGTCGCTGTTTCGTCTGTGGGCTGTTTACTTTACGGCCAGAAATTTTTCTGCGACTTATACAATAATCCATTTGCTGGGAATATTCTTAGGTACAGTATTGTCAGTAATATAATGTGCTAAACATAGCTGTTAAACTTGGTCAAACCTGTATTTATATCATATCATATTTACAAACAGGAAAAGAATATTACTTCACCTTGGTCAATTCATTATGGCCTGATTCTGATCCATTTGAAGCGCTTGTAGATCGGCCGGGCATTAGGATATATTTCGAATGGGTTAAGCAAGGCTTGTCCTATGTATTTATTAATATAGACATTGGCATCTGGATTTGGGTTATGACCTGGAAAGTGGTAGTCGATATTGAAGACAATTACGCCAAGTTGCTAGCTACAATCGGTCTAGTTGCATGTATAATTAATAATATCAGCTGTCTTATCGGTGTCGCCTTTGCAATGAGGACGATTTGCTCCGGAATGCGATCTTAATTAGTTTAGAGCATGCTACAATTAGTGAGCAAAACGGCAAATAGACTCGGGGGTTTGAAATGAGGACGATTTGTTCCGGAACACGATCTTAATTAGTTTAGAGCATGCTACAATTAGTAAACAAAACGCCAAATAGACTCGGGGGTTTGAAAACTGTTCGAGGCATGCTAATTTACGAACAATCTCCTTCACTGAAGTAGAAAGTTTGTACGAGAGATTACGAGGTATATTAAAAATTCTATGATATTATCATTTGATTACCTGGGAGGTTTACTAACACAAGCCGAAAAAGAAAGCCTGGCGTATCAATCCTAAAAGGTATCTACAAGACTAGACATTGCAGGCCGTCTTAGATCATTTGGTTCTTAGATATTAAAGACTTCAGATAACGGAACAATGGGAAGCGATGACGTATAATACACAATTATCACTTCGTTTCCAAATTAAGCAAGATTAAGAGTAAGTTTTTCTTAGAATAAAGCGACTTGTAAAAGATATTGTTAGCAAGAAATGTACCAGTTAACAATAAATCCTTTAACGTTATGTATGTAAGTGTAACCGTTTTAATACTCACGAGTCAAGTCGAAAGGGAAAAACTTATTGATAGGAACGCATATACAATACCTTTGTTAAATATCAAGATCTATACACAGTCAGTCTCGATAAGTCGGTTTTGGCTCAAGTCGGCCAAAAAAATTTTTCACTATTTAAAATTTCTCTCGATAAGTCGTTAGCCAGCTCTCGATAAGTCGGTTTCACGTGACAATTTGTAAAACGTATACATTTAATGTTAATTGGTGCCGTACGATAATTAATTGTCCAATACGATTACTTACACATTGGCTACACAACAAAAGCACTATAATCATACGATAAATATGTCATGTCATTAGATCATGCGATTAAACAAAGCACTAGACATGTCATTAGATCATACAATTAAAGCACCAGACATGTCATTAGATCATACGATTAAAGCAATAAACAAGACGATTCTCTAAGACAAGCTAGTTTACATGATTATTTTTGTGATGTAATTATATTAATATATTAAGAATATTAAGAATAAACGGTTTAAATAAACGTACGACTTATCGAGACGGACTGTGTATACTGTCGGCTTTGACTGCATTTTTAAAAATTACTAACAAGCGTTTGGTTCAAATTGATAAATAATGATATGTTTCCATTACCACAACACTCTGCTTAATCATGTTTGTATTTTTTAATGTTTGTATACGTGAAAATAAACAATTTCCCAATTTAATTGAAGGCTTCGTTTTACGCTTAAACTGAAAATTTATAGATCAGGAAACACGTAACGAGACGTTCACGATTCGGTTTAACTCTAAAAAGTTTAGTAAAGCTCAAATATAGACATTGCTTGCTTCTACCGGCTTCAAAAATTAGTTGAGGAAGAATTTAACGTGAAGACAAACATTTATATTATCTCGCATTACACGAAACATAGTTGTAACTACAAAAGTCAAAATAACTTTGATTAGAACAGTATGTTGCTCAGCCCGAGAAAATCAACAAACGAAATAATTTTACTGTTAAATAGTAACTTTTTAGAGTAAAATAATTTGTTACATTATTCTGAATCTACGATTTTAGAGCATTTCTCACTTTTTAGAAATCTAATCGTTATCTTGCTTTCCAGGATTAATCACTTTTTTTTTTTTTTTTTTTGAGTTTAGTCAAAATGCATATTCTCTAAAAAACAATTCCATTGCGTTTTTGAGTGCTTTTTCGACTGATCAATATTAAATATAATTGAACTTATATCAGTCAACAAGTGCTACAAAATCGAACCTATTATTATTATACCCGTCATTCCCATTACACAATGTCCTGGGTTGAGTTATCAGAGACTGATGATGCACACCTGAATTGAGATACAGTGGAGCAGAATATCTGGAACAAAAGGACTGCTAGGGATGAATTGTCTTTTTAGAATGGCTTGGTATAGCTCCCTTGGGAGAATCTTTTACAGTAACGTGCAAAAGTATCCTACCGGTTGTATCATCTAAACGTACATAATAATAACTCCTTAAATTTTCCA